CCGCTCCGACCGGGCGGCGGCTCCCCCTCCTCCTCCTCCTCCTCGTCCTCGCCCTCGTCCTCCTCGTCCTCGTCCTCCTCCTCCTCCTGTCATTCCTCCTCCTCTCATTCCCCCTCTTCCTCCTCCTCCCCTCTCATCCTCTTCCTCCCCCTCCCCCTCCTCCTCCTCCTCCTCCTCCTCCTCCTCTTCCTCCTCCTCCCCCATCCCCCTCCCCCCCCTCCTCCTCCTCCTCCCCTCCTCCTCCTCCTCCTTCTCCTTCTCCTCCTCCTCCTCCTCCCCCCCCTCCTCCCCCCCCCCTTTCCTCCTCCCGGGGTCGGACCGCGCGGAGGCGAAGAAGCGCGGGGGGCAGCTCAGGGAGCAGATCCAGTCGCCGGCGCAGGTGACGTTCGGTGACGTCGATCAGAAGCGGAGCAGCGCAGAAAGGAGCGCGAGGAGCTCCCGGCTCGTCTGTAGGCCAAGCGGCGGCGCCGAGGAGGACCTGACGCGCCGGCGGCTCCAGGCGCAGCGGGCGTGGGCGGCCGGGGCGACGCCCGGGCGCCGCAGCCGCCTATAGTGCCCCGGGGGCAGGCGCTGCCGCCGCGGCCGCGGGCCCCGCTGCCGGCGGAGCGGGTCCAGCGGCGAGCGGAGCCGCGGGCAGAGGCGCGGCCAAGTCGTCGGCGGAGCTCCGCGAGCGCGCTCGCAACCTACATGGCGACCATCCGACCGTCATGGGCAAGGACCCTGGCGCGGGCGTGGGGGGCGTCGAGGTGCCCGTCGATGGCTCGCCGCAGTCTCTTTAGCCGCGGCGGGGCTGAGCCCCCAGCCAGAAGTGCCCCTGCGCGCAGGTCGTGGACGGCAGTCGCGGCCAACGCGTCAGGGCGGGCAGGGACGCAGGCCTCGCTCACTGACAATCTTTTCCTGCACGGCGAAGTTCTTTGCATCCTGGCATGTAGAACCCCGAGCCTTACGTTTCACAGGCTGCGAAGTGAACGGCCGACGAGGGTTGGAAGCTGCGTCTCTCCCACTAGACAGCCCTTCAAGTCCACCGCCCCCACCGCAGGACTGGGCCCCCTTCGGAAAGGAATTTCAACGGCTGCGTCGCCAGCCAACTGCCGCAGATCTCTCGGCGCTCCACGTGGAGATTTGCGACGCCATGGAGCGGGGGATCTGCGACGTGCTAGACTTCGCGCCCTCTGAAACGTCGAAATGCTGCGGGAGGGGCACTGCGTTTCAGGTGGTCGAGAAGCTATCTTTTGGGCAGCATGTTTCAGGTCCCTTTCCAAAATGCAACGTCGAGTCCAGGGCGCTCAGGAGGTGCCAGGTCTGGCTGGACGAGCTGAAATCTTCCTGGGAAAGAGCACCCTCGGGCGACTTCTGGGTTGCAGGACCTGGTTCGGAAGCCCGCGGCGCCCATCAAGGCCATTGAAGGCATCCCTGAATGGATATCGCTGAAAGGAGGTATCCGTCTACACACCAACGTCTCCCACGAGGGGCTGCAGGGTGCACCGGCGGCCGCTCGGGCGATTGTTTTTGCTGAGGACCTAGCTTCGCGGGCCCGGAGGGCCCAGGGGGCCAAGTAGTGGCGGCAGTGGGTTTCACGCCATCTTATGCAAGTCGGAGGAGGTCATGAGGTTTTTCATTGGACTTAGGAGCCTCAGGGCTGGGCCCCTGAATGGGGCTGGCATGGGCGGCGCTCCTGCTGGCCCCGCGCGCGCCGCGCTTGCCCCTCTGGAGAGGCGGAAGCAAATCGGGCATGTAGGTGAAACTTCCAAGTTGCCGCAGGGCTGATTCTAAGCGGCGTTTTTAGTTGTCGTTTTGTTTTCGTTTTCCCTCGCTTTTGTCTCGAATCCGCCTTTGCCTCAAAAAAATCGAAACGAGAACGGCCCGCGAAATCGCCAACAAAAACACCGTTTAGGCCCAGCCCTGGGTTGCGATCCCAGGGCCTGGACGCGTCGCTCGGAGGGCCCCCGCCAGCGCCCGCGGCGACTGAGGTTCGAGAAGCCCGTCGCCGGCTTGAAAAAAACGCCGCCGCCGGCATCGACGGCTGGAACGCCGTGAACCTCAGGCAGATTCGTGATGATTCGTGATGCTGGATAGGCCGTTCTGGCTGAATTATTGTCGTTCGCGGCGCATTAACTTCTTCTTCCAGAGCGGTGCGGTTTAGCGTCGACTGCTGTCCTCAGAAAGCCAAGTGGAAGCCGTCGGCCGATGTGCATCCTGGCAACGTTCGCGCGGCTTCTGGGCCGCGCCCGGCCTGGCGGGGCCAAGAAATGGGAGCGCGAGCGCCGCCTCGAGCGCGCGCGCGGCGCCAGAGGCAAGAGCGTCGCGAGCAGTCGGCGCGGCGGCAGGCGGCCCGGGCTGAAGCGGCAACACCGATAGGAACCAGTTCGGGGTCTTGTCTGGTGGACTCGGAGAGGCGCGCGAAAGCATTCCCCGCGATGCACTTGGGGCCGCCTGCCAAAAGCATCACTTTCATCTTCGGCATGGGCGCCTGCGCACGAGAGCGCATGGAGGCCCTGGGATGGTGGAGATCAAGGAGGCGTTTTCGAGTATATCGTCATGCTGTCGCACTCGATGATTGCTGGTTGCTCTTTTGCGACTACTGCTGCGCGATTCTTTAGTGCGCATGAGACAACGCTGGGCGTCACTGTCCTAACATGTCCTGCCTGGTTGGTGATATTACGGCGTCGGCTCTCGGTTCGGAATATTTCGCGGGGGAATTGTTATCGAGAGCGCTCACAGCGCTGCGTCATCAACTCCGCAAGATGGAGTTTGTAGTGTAGAAGTGCCAGACCGTCGCGTCTTCCAGCAAGCCGGCGCAAGGCCAAGGCGCGAACCTCGAGAGTTTGAATTTCAAGGCTTGCTCGAGCGCGAAGAACCTCGAGCGCGACTTTAGTCAGCAGGCCAGGAAACGCAAGAGGGTTCTGAAACGCAGAGCGATCAACCTCAAGGAAAGGCCCCACAAGCTCAGAGCGCTCAAACACCACCGGCCCGGGCATTCTGAGCTGGAGGGCTGGCGTCGGCGATCTACGGAGCCGGAGTCTGCGGAGACACAGAGCTCTCGAACCTCCGAGCTGCGGCAGCTGTTGCCATGTTTGGGGGGGCCAAGAGCCGGTCCAAGGCGGTGCAGTATCTGTTGCGTGACCAGTCTGACCTCGACCCCGCTATCGCGATTGACACTTCGCCCCTCGCGACGTGACCCCAGGCGCTCCACGAGAGCTGGGTCCCCCAAGGCACCGCGAAAGACATCTTCGAGGCGGGCCTCTCGGCGATCCGTCTTGGGTGGGCTGCAGTGTCTGGCCCAGGGGGAGCGGCCGTTCAGACTCTGAGGCGTTTGGGATGGCAGATCCGATCCTACAAAGAGCGGCTGGACCCTCAAAGGCTCGAAACCCATCTAGACAAAGTTAGCATGAAGACCCTGACGGAGCTCGTTCATAATGGTCTCAGGGAACAAACTGAACTGCAGGCGGCAAAACACACGGGTTGGCAGGGGACCCCCCTCCTCGACCCGATCAGAGACGAGCTGCGAGCGCTCCGAGGCAAGGGGCAAGCAGTTGCAGCAAGTCTGGTTTCAATTCATATGGCAAGCGGCCTGCTGACGCAGTCCAAGATTTTTACCCAGCGCTATTCTTATTCCTCAGCCTGCAGGTGATATGGCCGATCTCTAGGCAACATGTCACACCGTTTCTACGGATGCGACGGTTTGGTGGCTTGGCGTCGTGATATGGGGTGTGAAGAGCTCGTGTCCATCGACCGAGACAACCCAGCCAACCTTCTCGTCCAGTATGGCATCACAGATAGCATGCGAGACGCCATGACCCTACTACTAAAAGAGCACGAGTGTCCACAGCGCGGCCTCCTTGGCTGCGGCTACGTTGGAGAGGAGATCTTCATAGACGGACAGGGGATCAATCCAGAGGTGGAGAGGATGACTCGGGCAAGGTGGGCGGTTCTCTCTCTCAAGCATTGCAGTGAACAGGTTTCGGCAGTAGCATACAGGCCTGGCCGAGCACTATGCCTTCTTGATGGCCCTGCGTCTCATGGGCCCGAAGGCGACCATCATCACAGATCACAAGAACCCCCTAATAAGTATCCAGACGGGCCCCGAGGATATGTGCAGAGGGTCGGAGCCTTTATTGGGAAGTCTGGCGTCAGATTGCTTGGAAGCTTGGGAATGTCCGAGCCTTATTGGGACATCTGGCGTCGAACTGCTTGGAAGCTTGAAGATGTAGGAGTGGAACATGTTGACCTTGAGTGGATGCCGTCACACAAAAGCAGAGCGTGGCTCAGAAATCACGATTTCTCTGACTCCTGGTATCCTGGGAACTGGCAGGCGGATAAGTACGTGAGGTTACGGGCTCTTGAGCATCCTGTAGTGCCCCAGCTAGACGAAGGAATTCATGCAGATAGGGATTCCAGTAGCAACTCACGAGACTCCTGGCAGGCTCTTTGAAGCGTCTCACTGAAATAGGTTTCCCGAATATAGATATGATGCCCCGGGCCAAGAAGGTCTCTAGGGAGCCCGCGACGGCAAGAGAGAAGCCCATGATGGTGCTCCTGCTCACGACAGATGATCGAAGCCATCTGCTTCACAAGGTTGAAGGACTGCCGAGTGTGCGGTGCCAATGCCGCTCGGCGCAGTGCGGCCTGCAGGCAGTGCGGGTGCCACGCGAGGCGACAGGTCAAGGACTTGGCCTCGCGCGGCCCTCGGTCTGCTGGGCCAGGCAAGGCGGGCGCGTTGAAGTGCATGCGCCAGGGCATGGATCACACATCCAAAGTGTTCGTGGGGGCCCCATTCCCTGTCCACTAGATTTTCCCCGTCGGGCCGGTTTTTCGTTGAGTTGTGCCCGCAGAGTCTCCAGAGGCTTCAGAGGCTCCAGAGGCTCCATGGGGAGGAGGAGGAGGAGGAGGAGGAGGAGGAGGAGGAGGAGGAGGAGGACGACGAGGAGGAGGAGGAGGAGGAGGAGGAGGAAGCTTCAGAGGCTCCAGAGGAGGAGGAAGAGGAGGAGGAGGCGAGAGGCCTCCAGGTCCTGCCTCTCGCGCAGCTGCCGCAGCTGCTGGCGCTGCAGGGCGGGCATCCGCTGCGTCAGCGACTCGATCATGTTGCCTGGCTTCAGCGCCGAGGCCGCCAGGGGGGGGGGGGGACGCCTCGAGGTCCGAGGCTCGAGGCTCGGGGCTCTCTGGGCGTTCCCGTCGGCTCCGGGCGGCTTCCCAGCCTCGGGACGCGTTCCAGCAGCTGCGCCGCTCCCCAGGGGTGCCCAGATCGTCCCGAACTGCCACGGGAGGCCCAGGCTGTGGCACGAAAGCCACCCGTCGCGCCGCGGCAAGAGCCACGACGGACGGCGATGGCCTTGGTTCAGCCGAGTCTTGAGCTCGGCCCCCGAGGGCCGAGGAGGAAACTGTCGTCGTCGTCGTCGTCGTCGTCGTCGTCGTCGTCGTCGTCTTCGGCCAGCTGTGGGGTGTTCTCGCTGCAGTGCCTCCAGGAGGGGGTCTCGGTGGGGCCTCTGTGGCGGGGGGCCCGTCTGCGGTGGCTTCCAGAGGTGAGCGCCGCCCGGCGGGGGCTCTCGGGCTCCCTCGCACGTCTTGGCCCCCACAGATGGATGGCACGGGTGCCGCCTCGGAAGGGCTCGGACCCCCCGTCGCGCCGTAAGCCAAAGATGGGACGGCGGCGCCGCAGGATGCTATGGTTCTGGTATTTTTCCGCTGCTCGGAGCGGGGTAGCCGCGGGGTCAGCAAGCATCCCAGGCGCTCTGGATCCAGTCGTCTGGATGTTCTTGGTAAACGTTCTGCCTTTGGGGGCGCTTACAGGGCCCTGGGACCGTCAGCAAAACTGCTCTGGACCGCGGCCCCTGAGGCCGTGCTGAGCAGCTGGCTGCCAGAGGCAATGCACCTTTCGTCGTCGTCGTCGTCGTGGGCCCAGCAGAGTGTGCGTTTTCTTAGCCGGCATGTCAACATTGGGCGGAAGAGGGGGGGAAGAGGGGGGTCTGGCTCCAGACCTCTGCTTAGTGCGACTGTTTGCAATAGTGTGCCTAGGGGGGAGACCCCACCTGCTCAAAACAGGCGCCAAAACAGCCAAGATCTACTCCATAGGGGGGGGAGAGACGTCGACAGGCGAAACGAACAAAACAATCTGTGGCGAGCGAGGAAATTCTCAGAGGCCCAACGAGAAAATCCAATGCCCCCAACTACAGAACTGCCTGGACCGAACCAGGAAACTGCAAACGAGAGAGAACGCTAAATTTGCGTGGAAACCCACGAGGAAACTTCCGCAGGCTCGAAAACTCTCCGGACACCTGCCGCTTCACCCTTTCCCTCGTCCACCTCCTCCTCGTCCTCGTCCTCCTCCCACTCCTCGTCCTCCTCCTCGTCCTCCCCCTTGCCCTCCTCATCCTTTTCCTTGCCCTCCTCATCCGTTCCCTCCTCCTCCTCCTCCTCCTCCTCCTCCTCCTCCTCCTCCTCCTCCTCCTCCGCCCCCCGACCGAGGACCGCGAACCTCCCTACGGAAGCCCCCAGGCGGTGAACCTTCCGTAGAATTTACAGAAATCAATGAGATCTGTGAATCCAGCAAGAGATTCACCGCCACTCCGCCCCCCGACCGAGGACCGCGAACCTCCCTGCGGAGGCCCCAGGGCGGTGTACCTTCAGTCAATGAGATCTTTGAATTTTACGGCAATGCCCAATGATATTTGTATATTTTACGACAGATTCACCGCCCCAGGCCGAGGATCGCGAACCCCCTGCAAAACCAGCCCCTCAGTCGGTGAACCTTTCTGTAAATCTGCAAAACCCAACGAAATCTGCAGATTTTACTGGAGATTCGCCGCCCCAGGCTGGCTCCGCCCCCGGGCCAGCCCCGCCCCCCGACCGAGGACCGCGAACCTCCCTGCAGACGCCCCAAGGCGGTGAACTTCCCGTGGAATTCACAGCACCCAATGAGATCTGTGAATAATGGGACATTCACTGCCCCAGGCCAGCTTTGCCTCCCGACCGAGGACCGCGAACCTCCCTGCGGAGGCCACCAGGCGTGAACATTCCATGGAATTCACAGAATTCATTGAGATCTGTAAATTCAACCAGATATTCACCGCCCCCCCGCCCCCCGACGAGGACCGCGAACCTCCCTGCGCAGGCGGTGAACATTCCGTAAGATTCACAAAACTCAATGAGATCTGCGAAATCAGCAAAAAGTTCACCGTCCCGCCGCCCTCCAACCGAGGACCGCGAACCTCCGTGCGGAGGCCCCCAAGCGGTGAACCTTCCGTAGAATTCACAAAACTCAATGAGTTCTGTAAGTTCTACGGGAGATTCATCCCCCCCAGGCCAGCTCCGCCCCAGGCCAGCTCCGCCCCCCGACCGAAGCTCGCGAACCTCCCTGCTGAGCCCCTCAGTCGGTGAACCTTCCGTGAACTCACACAACCCAATAGGACCTGTGAATTTTACGGAAGATTCACCGCTCCAGGCTGGCTCCGCCCCCAGGCCAGCCCCGCCCCCCGACCGAGGACCGCGAACCTCCTTGCAGAAGCCCCGAGGCGGTGAGCCGCCCGTAAAATTTACAAAACTCAATGGGGTCTGTAAATTCCATGGGAGATTCACCGCCCGAAGCCAGCTCTGCCCCCCGACCGAAGACCGCGAACCCCCCTACAGAGACCCCCAGGCGGTGAACCTTCCGTAGACTTCACAAAACTTAATGAGATCAGTCTGTGAGTTCTATGGGAGATTCACCGCTCCAGGCCGGCTTCGTCCCACGCCGGCTCCGCCCCCCGACCGAAGACCGCGAACCTCCCTGCGGAGGCCCCCAAGCGGTGAACCTTCCGTAGACTTCACAAAACTTAATGAGATCTGTAAATTCTACAGGAGTCACCACCCCAGGCTGGCTCCGCCCCCCAACCGAGGACCGGTAACCTCCCTGCAAAGGCTCTTAGGCGGTGAACCTTCCGAAGAATTCACCAAACTCCATGAATTCTATTAATTCTACGGGAGACTCAACGCCCCACGCCGGCTCGTCCGCCAGTCCTTCTCCTTTTGAATAATTTATCCCTGTCGCACCCCGAGGCGAGTCTTCAGGGCGGGCCGGGCGTTTCGCCCGAGACTTGCCCACCACTCATGACTCTGAAAATGAAAAGTTGACAACAGCTTCGCAGATGGAGGGCGGGTGGTTTTGAACATGTGGCTCTCGCCTTAACGCGGCGCACATTCGTTTGAAAGAATTGCAAAGGTTTTACGGATTGAGGGCGAAGCGTTTTCAAAATGCGGCTCTCGCCTTAGCGCCGCGCACATTCGGTTTGAAAATTCGCAAGGCCTTCATGGATTAAGGGCGGTTCCTTTTCAAAATGTGACTCTCGCCTTAGCGCCGCGCACATTCGGTTTGCAAGAGCTTCGCGGAGTGAAGGCGGTTCCTTTTCAAAATGTGGCTCTCGCCTTAGCGCCGCGCACATTCGTTTTTAAGATGTACCAGAGTTTCGTGGATATGATCAACGTACCAGAACTTGTGTTTTGGAAGCTTTCAGGCTCATGAGGGCGCACAAGTTAGGTTGATTCGCGGTGTTCAAGTCCCAAGAAGGGCGTTCCGGTAATATTCAGGATCGTCAGGACGCAACAGTCAGATTGACCCGTGGCGTTGGAATCCCAAGAACAATGTCTTGACATGCTTCAGGGTCTTCAAACAGCTGTCTTCCAACGAGGCAGTTCCCTCAGTACAAACGAACCGTTGTAGGGGTCTATGAAGAGGGAGCTTGGAGGGAGGGTGTATTCCAACATCGTTGATGCCACTTGGGTTTACACTGGTCGCCCTCCTCGTCCTCGTCCTCATCCTTCTCGTCCTCCTCGTCATCTCCCTCCTCGTCCTCCTCCTCCTCGCCCTCGTCCTCGTCCTCCTGCTCCTCATCCTCCTCCTCCTCCTTCTTGCCCTCCTAATCCTTTTCCTCTTCCTCCTCCTCCTCCTCCTCCTCCTCCATCTCCGCCTCCTCCTCCTCCACCTTCGCCTCCTCCTCCTTTTCCCCCTCCTCCTCCTCGTCCCCCTCCTCCCTCCAACTCCTCCTCCTGCTCCTGCTCCTGCTTCTGCCCCTCCTCGTCCTCGTCCTCCCCCTCATCTTCCCTCCTCCTCCTCCTCCTCCTCCTCCTCCTCCTCCTCCTCTTCCTCATCGTCCTCCCCCTCCCCCTCGCCCTCCTCCTCCTCCTCCTCCTCCTCCTCCTCTTTCTTCCTCCTCCTCCCCCCTCCGCCTACTCCTACTCCTCCTACTCCTCCTCCTCCCCCTCTTTCCCTATCCCCCTTCGAATCCCCCCCTTTCCCTATCTCCCATCGAATCCACGGGTCTTCACTGGAGGTGATTGTTTCATCCCGGATCCGTTCGTATGAGCCTCCCAGGCCCGAGACGGGCGACCAGGGGAGCCGAAAACGTTAAAAACGACCGAGGCCCTACACAACGCCAAAACTCCCGCCCCTGGAAGCCCGAGGAGGCCCTACACCACGCGAAAACTCCCACCCTGCACCACGCGAACACTCCCGCCCCTGGAAGCCCGAGGAAGCCCTACACCAAGCGAAAACTCCCGCCTCAGTGCAGCGGGATCCCAAAACTAGGTCGGGCCATTCGAGAAGCAAGTTTCTCCCTTCACCCCCTGGGAAATCTCCTGGTCCCACTCCCGAGATGTCGCCGTTCGACCCCGAATGGGTTTCCCCGTTCACCCTCCCAAAATTTCCCCCGTTCGTGGGTGGATTTTCCCAGTGTGCTTGCAGATTTCTTGGATCGTCCTTTCACTGGGGAGGGAGGGTACGAGGGCCCGCGCCGATCGGCAAAACAATGAATCAGAAAACGCTCACAGAGGTGACCACGACGGCACTGCCCGATCTGTTTCCTTCTCTGATCGGGTGTGGCCAAAGGTGTCCCTGACCAACGGCGTCCCCAGAGCACCCCTCACGAGGCCTGGAAGACCCCGTGGGCTCAGAAATGGCGCGAAAAGGTGGGACACCTCTGAGGGAGAACATTAGAGGGGGGGGGGGGGCTGACTCAAAGGGGGAAGCATCGAAGCTAAATCGGTGATCCGCCAGCCCCCTGGGGCCGTCGGGCTGCGGGGATCAGGCTTGCTGCTCGCTGCTCTAGTTCCAATGTC